TCTGCTGAGTCCAAGCCTGTTACTTCTCCTTCCTTAGCATTTCTCACTTATTTGTCAGATTTTTGTTTCCTTCTCACCGCTGCTGGTCTTTCAGTTCCCAATGTTCTATCTTTTAGCAGTCTCCTAACTACTGTGCCCTTGGCCTCCAGTCTCATCTCTTCTTTCAGTCCATCCTCTACCTTAACATTGCTGAGCATCTCTGAGCCAAGCACTGAATTACATGTTTTGCATATGTTATTTCATTGATTCCCTGTTAGTTCCCCTCATTCATCCAAAAAAGAGACCTCTGGCCAGAAATCAAGTAAATCTTTTAAACTGGGAGTGTAGTTCAGTTCAGTTTAAAAGAAGAAGAAAAGCTCAAAATGGGGACCTGAGTAATTCCAGGTAAAAAGGCAGGAATGAACTCTTGAAATTGTTGGATTGGTGTGCTAGGTAGATTACTCCCGTGTCTGATTCCCAATCTGGGCAACCAATTTACTGCAAGCTGAGACCCTGGGTACCAGGGGAACACAGGAATTCTGCGTTGTACCAACAGTGCTTGGGCACAAACACTGAGCACCATACCTGGCTTGTCTCAGCTCTCATTGCTCCTCTGTTACTTGGCCCACCTCCCCCATCCTCATGTTCTCTTTCTGTTTTCTAGAACACTTCACTCTAATAGGATGGGTAGGACCCTGGTTTGTCTCAAGATGGATATACTGAGTCTTAATCCCTTTTGGAAATGGTCAGCTAGGATAGCTATTATCAAATTACCCTATCACCTCGGCCCTCCTTTTGAACCACTTTTTTGCTTTTTCTTCTTTTTTAAAGAAAGTGCATACTGTACTCCCAGTTAGTAGATTTATCTGATTTTTGGCCAGGAGTCACTTTTCTGCACGGATTAGGGGACCCAGCAGTGTATCAATGGAATAACACGTGTAAAGCACTAACATGGTGAATGGCACATTGTGGGTTGTGTTAGTTTCGATTGCTGCTGTAACAAATTGCCATAAACTTAGTGGCTTAAAAAACATAGGTTTTATTATCAAATGGTTCTAGAGGTCAGAAGTCCTGCAGTCAGGCTGTTACTATGGCTGTGTTCTTTCTGGAAGCTTGAGGGGAGAATCTGGTTCCTTGCTGTTCCTAGCTTCTAGCAGCTTCCCCTCACTCATCCCTTGGCTCAAGGCCTCTTCCTCCATCTTCAAATATCTCTCTCTCTGACCTCTTCTGCTGTCCTCATGTCTCCTTCCCTAAATTTGACTCCTCTACCTCCCTGTTTAAAAAAATTTTTTTTAAAGATAAAATTCATACACATAGAATTAACTATTTGACCATTTTAAAGTGTGTAATCCAGTGGTTTTACTATACTCACAATTTGTGCAACTATCACTACTTTTTTTTTTATTAAGGTATCATTGATATACAATCATATGAAGGTTTCATATGAGCAACATTGTGGTTACTATATTCACCCATATTATCGAGTCCTCCCCTACACCCCATTGTAGTCACTGTTCATCAGCATAGTAAGATGCTATAGAGTCACTACTTATTATCTCTGTGCTATACTCCCTTCCCCGTGACCCCCGTACATTATGTGCCATCACCACTCTCTTATAAGGACTTTTCTGATTACATTGGATCTACCTAGTAATCAGGATGATTGCCCTAGCTCAAGATTCTTAATTTAATCACATGTGCAAAGTCCTATTTGCCATGTAAGGTAACATTTTCACAGGTTCTGGGCATTAGGATGTTGACATTGTTGTGGGGCTGTTATTTAGACTACCACATGAGTACTTAGCAATTGTTAGTGTCACTTGGCCTTGCCTTCTCAATTCAGATACACTGGAAGTGTACAAACTTGAGGTACGAACTTCTAGAGTTTTACTCATCCTCAGAACTTTCTGAGCACTGATCAAGTATATGACCAGTGCTCCAGTACTTGATCTACAGTACCTCCAGTAACTACAGTACCTCCAGTAATAGCCACTGTTTATTGGGCACTTATTGTGCACTGGGTCGTTACTAGGGGCTTCAGGTGCATGTCATTTTATTTTTCATGAGCTGAATTGCTCTTCCTGCCAGTGTCCACTCATATAATAGCGTTAAGTAGGAAGTTTAGCCTCATACCTTGAGGAGTTATGTGATATAGCAGGCAGTTATTGTGCACTGATTGTCCATGGACTGTAGATTTGCTCTGAACTGAGATCAAAGCAATTGCTAGTGTTTCTCATAAAGTTACAAGATATAACTCAGGTATCCTAGGTATTTACTGAAGAGCAATGAAAGCATATATCCACGCAGACTGGGCTCAAATGTTCATAGCAACATTTGTTCACAATAACTCTTAACTGGGAATAGCCCAAAGCCCATCAGCTGGTGAATGGATAAATTATCCATATAATCAGAACTCAGCAATTAAAAAGGAACAAACTACTTACAGACTCAACAAGATGGATGAATCTCTAAAATATTGTATGAGGAGGAGGTGAAAGAAAGCAGTCACATAATAATGTATGAATTTACTTGGCACAATTGAACTGTACACTTCAAAGGGCTAAATGATAAATTTCGTGTTTTATATTCATGTATAACTTCATGTGTATTTTACTATAGTTTTTAAGAAGCTATATGTGTAGTTACATGTGATTCTGTTCATACTAAATTCTAGAAAACGCAGAACCATACTGACAGAAAGCATATCCCATGGTTGTCAGAGACCCAGGATTCAGGGAGGCACAGACTGTAATAGGGCATGAGGGAACTTCTTGGGGTGATGGAAATGTTCTCTATCTTGATTGTAGGGGTGGCTATACAACTAACTGTATGCGTTTGTCAAAACAGCTGAATTACACACTTATAGGTGAGTTTTATTGTTTGTAAATTATAGTCCAATAAAGCTAATACAAAAAGAGAACAAATGTCTAGGAATTTGAGGTAGTTAAAAATTCTGTCTCTTAGTAAACTGTTACATGATTTTTCTATGCTGTTTTGTAAAACTTGTGTACCAAATCATAAGGTAGAAGGTAATATATTACCTTTTCATCGCTCGCTGGGTTCCGTGAAAGTGTTTAGTAACTGCAAACAGTATGTAATGCACTTAAGGTCCATGAAGTCATACCTTAAAGTTACCTTAGTGAGAAGGTATATTACAAATAATTAATATTCCCAGCGGTAGAAGAAAGAAGACTGTGTGTGTTTCCTACAAGTGGTCATTTTTGGATTGAGCTTTACCTACTTACCACCCAGACGGGTGACTCCGTTATAACTTAAAAATTATGGGATAACATAAGGTTAATGAAAGCACTGCGTCCATATCTTTTCTCACTGATTTCTCCAGTTCTAGTCAAATTCTCATTTTTTCTTAGGCTTTATTTGTATTAGTCTCCCTGGGGTATTTGACCTTATTATCATTCCTCCTCAAAATCTCCTTCTCCCTTGGTCTCTGGGAATATACTACACTCTAGTGATTTTCTTCCCATTACAGAAATGATTTCATTCTCTTTGGCTGGCATATCATTGTCTTAAGGTCCCTTGTTGAGAACCTTTGCCTTTTGAGATATCTTATCCTTTCCTAAGAATAATCTATTCTAGTGCATCTCAAATCTTTTGCCCCCAGTTCTCTCTATTAAGCCTTGTTCTTATTTCCAGCTACCTCCAGGATATTTTCATTGTTCCTATTTCTTACCATTGCCAAACTAAATGTATTCCCTTTACTTCCATGTGCTCTCACATTCTTGGCTTTTCCACGTCTTTGAGACACTGCCATCTTTTCCCCCTCAGGTTTAAAACCTGAAACTCTATTTTCTTTTTCCTCCATCTCCTCTATTCAGTTACTGTTCAGGTCTTTTCTGTTTCCTGTGAGCTGTCTCCCTTCCTGTCAGACTTTTTTGTTTGTGCTTTAACCAGTGTCCTTATTTTCAGAGGTCAACATGGTACCCATAAGACATTCTTGAGTGAAAGCTGCTGGTCAGGATGCCAAAGAAGGTTTCCCAGTTTGGGGAGTCACTCTGTCACTAAATCCACGTCTCGGAACCCTATTGAATGCCTGGGTCACTAGGTTCCAGAGCTTGGCTTTGCTCTTACGGTACACCTCTAGGGATGCTTTTGGAAAGCTGGGTGTTTCCTTTTGTGGCATCTTTGCTGCCAGTCTCTGCTTTTTCAATTACAGACAGCTTTTCCTTTCCTTGTGAGTATATGAGGTGCTTCTCCTGTGCCCCACAGAATCCTGGGTTTTGTAATTTTGTGGTACCTTGGGTTTGCTGCCTCTGTGTTCTCTCTGAATGGTTCCTTCTTCTCCTTACACAGTACTCCCTTACTCTTCCAACTGAAAAGCAAAACTGAGGGACCGGAGGGTGCAGATTTCCATGTACTGCATTCCTGTGAATCACTAAATATGTGTGTCTGCATTACCCCTTTTGCATTTTCCTCTGAGTTTCCTTAGGAGTCAGTCAGATCTTTTCATAAATCCTCTCCCAAAGGCCTGCATTCTTTGACAGCATTCGTACAAGTTACTTTGTAGGATTGGTAGCATAGTTGAAGAAATGTGGGAAATTTTTGTTAACAGGAGAGGAGAAACTGATGAAATACAAGTTATGTTGTCTTTCACTTGATTTTCCCAAAGGGGAGGGCTGGCGATAGCCTGGATTTCTTGGAGTTTAACTGTATCCTCAGAAAGAAGATATTCACAGTTAATTTCTTTCCATTTATTTTGAGGGTGAAAGATCTGCTTTAGAAATGAAAAATTGGTGAATTACTTCAGTGACTAGGATATTTTAAGATGTTTTATTTCAGTTACCTTTCATCGTAGAGAAATTTAGTAAACATATTTCAGGGTTTTGAAATGAGGTCTCTGTGTTTCTCTGAAATGAAAGGAATACAGCATTCTCGGTCCATTGTTAAAATTGAAGCTATTATCAGATTTGGAATGAAGTAGCCAGAAGCCTAGAGATACTGATTTTGTGACTCACAATATGATACTATTTGTTTACATTCCCTTTTATATTTGGGCCTTGTAGAGGGGTGTTTGATGCTTCCCTCAAAATGGCTGGCTTCTATGGATTGTACACCTGGCTGACTCACACTATATTTGGCATCAATATCGTCTTCATACCATCAGGTAAGTAATTGTATCATAATTTCCATTGTCCTCTATTTAAGGAAAGTTAAGCCATTTTATATACATTGGAAATACCATATTCTTCAAGTTTAAAGTACTAAATTTTGTGGTCTAATATAACTCATATTAGGAGCAAGAATATGATTTGTAATGTTTACTTAATGCTGTATCCTACCTAGTAGCTAGAACAATACCCAACTCTTAGAAAGCACTGCATAAGCATCTGTTAAATGAATGACTGTCCTAGCACTTAGCACAACACCTAGCACAAAATTGGCACTCAGAAAATGTTTGAATTGACCTGATTGGAAGGGAGCAATGAGTTGGTCAAATAGCTTTGTCCCATGAAGGATACTGTCCTGGGGGCAATATAAATGCTTCTGAGGGCATATACGCTGTCTCCATACCTCTTAATTTCTGTTCTGATAATGCCCTAATTCCATAATGATTCCTTCTTGAGTATCAAGATGGTTTAATGACCATCTTTTACTTTTTCTTCAACATTATCTCTGCTCCTCTCCTTCCACTTTTTCTTCTTCTGTGGCTGCTTGTCTTCCTAAATATATCTGCCTTCCATGTTTACCTCTACCACCACTTTTCCCCTTTTGTGCATGCCCTCTTCTTTCTTTACATTCCCAAGGTCATTCATGTTCTTTTTCTGCTTCAGAGTCCACTAAGCCATGCCCTGACATACAAGCAGCCCAAGAGCATGTGCAGGTTGTTTCATAATATCCTGTGAGGCAGGTAGGGTAGGTAGTATTCCTGGTGTATAGGTGAGAAACCAAAGTTTTTCAAGGTCCCATACCTGGTTAATGGTAGGACCAGAACTAGAATCCACATCTACTTGACTCCTACTCTGGAGTGGGAGCCAGATGGAGAAAGAGTGGACATAGTGCTCTGGAAGGGGGTGAGCTTTGAGTAAGGTCCTTCAACTAGCAAGGCTTTTATACATTTCATTATTTTATTGGAAAGAAGCAATGTAAAGAACAGTACATTCATATCTGAGGTTTAGAAAGTTAATTTCTGATTTAATTTTGAACTCAGTACAAATTTTAACCAGTGCTCTACAGTGACATTATAGGACTGTATATTTACTAACCACTGATCGAGGATAACAACTGGAACACTGAAATTTTGTTGCTTAAGAACAAATATATGAAGTAGACACACACTTAAGAAATAAGTCAGGTTTTAAGATATTAGACCTTCATTTAACTAGCAAATTCAGTTAAATGGTGCATATCAGTCACTTAACATTTGAGTTTGTATTTGTTTAAGTTGTTGTTATGGAAATTTTTAAGTAGGAGGAGCTTGTGCCTAATTAAGTTCTGCCATTTTGTTACTGCTCTGATGAGGATGTTAAGTTGCTTTTCATCTTTTAATCTTCACCCAGCGTTAGCAGCAATTCTTGGTGCAGTGCCCTTCCTGGGGACGTACTGGGCAGCAGTCCCTGCAGTTCTAGACCTGTGGCTTACCCAGGGCTTAGGATGCAAAGCCATCTTACTGTTGGTTTTCCATCTCTTGCCAACATACTTTGTAGATACTGCCATCTATTCTGATATATCAGGGTAAGTCTCCCCCAGAACTTATGAAGTTGCTGGTGAATCATATTCAGTGATTTATGTGGCCTTCTTAATGGAGGGTTTGGGTATTTTTCTTTTGAAGATGGAAGAAAGGAAAGGTGGTAAGGTTTCTTGGTGAATTTGTCTTTTGGGTTCCCACTGATATAGGCAAAGTTTAATATAATGAATACTGTTTACAAGTATTACTGTTTATTACTATATAACTATTATTCACTATAAATATAGTAAATCTAATACAGTAAACTATATATATAAATATTTATTATAAATACTGTTTGCAAATATTACTGTTTTATTACTATATAAATATTATTTATAACATATGACTTAAACCAAATTGTGCATAATCTTCTGATTTACTGATATTTAAGAAAGAAATAGTACCAGATCTATGTAAAATATTTTAAGTATAGTAACAAGTTAGTGGTTATTTTTAGAACTTCTTTGCTTTTAGAGAAAGACAGTATCAGGTTGTATGTCTGAGATTT